GGCACGCCTTAGCGTCCGGTTCTTCGACTTACGACGATGGATGCAATATGCTCTCACGCTCCCGGCTCGCCACTGAACGCGCGGGGATCAGCGAATCGCTGTCACCGACGTCACCGAGGGTCGGTTTCACACCGTCGGCACTGCGGACAGTGAGTGGCTAAAAACAAGCGGAAAGGCCACAAAAAGCCGATAAAAGCGGCCACCCCGCAGGACCCGCAAAAAGGGCCCTTCTGTGCGTCAGAGGCCCGACCCCGGGGTAGACGCGTATGCCCCGCAAGGCGCCGCAGGCGTGGACGCTAGGGCCCTTAGAATCGATGCTGTGGCTTACGCCTCCCACACCCCCGATTCGACCAGCTGCCGGGTCGCCGCCGGGGCCCAACCGCGGTTGGCGGCCGGGCTCGCCGGGCTCGGATGGAGGACCGTCGTCACCCGCACCGAGTCGCTCGCGACGCGATTGAGGCACGCCTCGGCGTACTTGCCGACGCCGACCGCCCACTCGGGGTTGGTGACCTGTAGCAGTTCGGCCAAGTGCTTGTCGCATGCCGCGTCGAGCGGCTTGCGCTCCGACTTCGGAAGATGGTCGGGCGTGTGGTTCTTGCCGCTTTCGGTCATGAAGACCAGCGGGCAATAGTTGGCGACGAAGTGTTCTTTGAAGAACTTGGCGGAAGTCCCGAAGCGCTCGCGGAAGAGTCCCCACAGTCGCTGGCCCGAGACCTCGCTGCGCTGGCAAGCAAAGCCCTCGATGGGGCGCTTGGGGTGTTCAGCGGCGGGCCGCTTCACGGGCTCTTCGATGCCGATCCAATCGCGCACCGACGCGACCTCGCCAAAGGGGACGCCCGTCTGCGCCATGCCCCACGGCCCGGGGTTCATCCCGAGGAACAACACCCGCACGCCCTTGGGGTTCAGCCGCAGCACGTAGGCCTCGTGGGGCTTCCAAGCGTAAGCGAGCGGGTTGTAGACATGCGTCACCGGCGCGTCGAACGACAAAGCGCTGGCGGCCTTCGACAATCGCTTCGCCGAACGAATCGCTTCTTCAACGATGGACACGATCGCCCTCCTTGGCGGCTTGAAGATTCGTATGAGGATCTGTAGGAGGCGTCTCCGACGCCGACTACGCGCACCACGCCGTTTCGGAATGGATGCCGTAATCNNCGGCGTCGGAGACGCCTCCTACAAAGGTGTTTTCTTATTCAACGACGACGCCGTCGAGGCCGGGTTCGCTCGGTGGGAACTGCGGGTCCATCGCTTCGAGCGTGTCTTTGACGAGCTCGCTCACGATGAGATTGCGGTACCATTTGCGGTCCGAGGGGATGATGCGCCACGGGGCGTGCTCGGTGTTGCACTTCTCGAGGGCGTCCTCGTAAGCCTCCTGGTACTTTCCCCACAGCTTCCGTTCGGCGAGGTCGCCCGAGCTGAACTTCCAACGCTTGTCAGGGTTGTCGAGCCGCGCCTGCAGCCGCTCGCGTTGCTCTTCCTTGCTGACATGCAGNNCCCATGGTCACTCGACCCTCAACCAACAGCCTTTCGAACTCGTTGATCCGCTCATAGCGTCCCTTCCATTCATCCTCCGGAACGAGGTTGTGGACCCGCACCACGAGCACGTCTTCGTAGTGAGAACGATTGAAGATGCCGATCTCGCCGCGCCGCGGGACCGACTTGTGAATTCGCCACAGAAAGTCATGGTCGAGCTCTTCGGGGCTAGGCTGCTTGAACGACTGGATATGGAAGCTCTGCGGGTTGATCCCCGTCATCACGGTGCGGATGGTGCCGTCCTTGCCCGCCGTATCCATCCCTTGCAGCACCAAGAGCAGCGCCCGCCGGTTCTCGGCGTAGAGCCGGTAAGCCAAGTCGCGCGAGCGCTCGGTGTTCTCTTTGTTCCGCTCGTGCGCCGACTCCTTCGTCCAATCGCCCTCGACGTGGCGCGGATCGATATCGGCAAGTTTGATCTTCGAGCCGGGCTTGAAGGTGATGGGCTTGGGCATGAGCAAGGAGAGGCTAGAGGTAAGAGGCTAAAGGCTA